CTCTCCCTCTGAAGATCCTGTTAATTCTTCATCTTTGATAATGTTATGTTGTACTCTTTTGATAATAAATCTGGTACCATTACAAAGACCCCATTTACTATTAAGATTTCTCAATAGCATGATGATTGCACCCACTTTCACTTTTAATTTATGACATGGCATTCCCAAAGGAGTACTACTTAAGAAATTCGATGGGAAGAATTTCCTTTTCAGCATCATCTATTGAGTCAATGGAATCATCGCTCAAATATGTGTGAAAATCTCCCTCGAGTATATCCAAAATTTCTTCATTTAATTTTTGAACATGCTCATATTTTGGGCAAAGAATTGCATGTTTAGATATATTTATAATATTATCTATAGATATAGTATTTCTAAAGGTAGCTTCAATAATAGGTCCATTACAAATTATTTCACAGGGGATTTCACTAATATCCATTCCTAAATGAAAACTGCTATCAAGTTTGCCATCTCCAAGTTTTACTAACCATCCACTATAAGCAGAATCCTCTGATCTCAAATTTGTAGTAAGAGACAACTTCTGAAACATCCCCAAAGATTACAGTACTTTGAACCCATTTGTACTATGGCCTATCGCATAGCATGCGGTATAATACTAAGACATTGTCAAAAATCAACTCCTAGAAGGAGAACTTTCCCACCAAATGCAACATTCAAATTTGTTATTTTTCTTAGTAATCTGTCTATGGTGTTTATAGCATGACTGGATGCCATGGTGTATTCATCAATAATGAGAAGTTTGGCCTTTTTATTGGTTTTAGCAACTTCACTCTTTATATCGAGTCTAGAAATTGAAGTTTCATTTAATGGAAATGGTAGCTTATATTGGGAATGAAAAGTTCTTCCACCGAGAAGTAAATTTGCAGCAATTCCTGTAGACACTGTGGGTAAAACAGTACCACCATCACCTCTAATATAATGTATTAAAACTTTATAAAGAAATGCAGGTAAATAGGATTCCTAGCTGGCAGGCCCCTGACAGCAAGCTGGCCACCTGTCGATTCTATGAGGAATGGGACTCCCTTCTCCCTCCTGTCAGGGTCCGGGGTGCAGGTGAATGGGGTTCCTGGCTGGCAGGCCACTGACAGCAAGCTATCCAACAGCAGATTCTGTGAGGAATGGGGTTCCCTCCTCCCTACTATCAGGGTCTGGTTTGAAGGCGTAATGGAATTGGGAATGTATATTGGGAATGAAAATTTCTTCCACCAAGAAGTAAATTTGCTGCAATTCCTGTAGATGCTGTGGGTAAAACAGTACCACCACGACCTCTAATATAATGTGTTTAAACTTTATACAGATATGTTTTTCCACTACCATCTGGACATCCAAGAAAAAACATTTGGTTGTACACTTTGATCTTCAATGGCTGAAGTTATAGTCTGAAAGTCGCCAACTGTTCATCATTCAGAGAATTTATCAAAACCTCTGCCTATTGTTGCTTTTATGATTCATCACATGTATTTGTATTCATTAATAAAGGATAGTATGGAAGTCTGAGATGTGAACATTTCATTCTATGCAATGTGAATGCTTCTTGAATTTTGTTAAGGGCATGCATTTCACAGTTCACACAGGCACCTTCTCTTTGGTGTAATTTCCAACAGAAATCTTCAATAAAATGAGATTTATTCTCATCCCATAATTTGTTTGCAGCAGAACATCCAAACACACATATGTATGCAAAAGTTGCCATATTTGTTTGGGCATATTAAGGATGATTGCATTGTCAATCATATCTTTCTGTTTAGCAGCTTCACGAAATGTATCATAAATAGACCTCCTATAGTTCTCAGATCATCAAAACTTATCGCACCTTTTACATGCAGAAGCAAAAGTCTAAGGTAATATCATTCTGGTTTTCTAAAGCTCACAGTGAACAGTCTACCTAATGTGTATTCCCACCCTTTCGGTGTTTTGTCCATAAAGAATTAGTAAACACATAATGCTGTGGAATCTCCCAATAATATTATGTGAGTCAGAATCTTCTCTATTCAATAAAAATCAAGCCATCAAAGTTGAGTTATGTCTTTTAGCCCTATCTAAAACTTCAACAAAATCATCAATATGAAAATACAAATTTTGTTTATTTAGCAAATGAATAGCTAATCTTGTGATTGTATGAAATTGGTCATGCATTCGCATTGCAAAAAGTCTCCAAACAGCCTCAGGAGCGCTCATATACCTGGAGTCAATGAAGTCCTGTACTTCGTCATATTGATAAAGTTTTTCTCAGAAATTTGAATATTTGCACAATCATGATTTTTATAGATGTATTTAAATAAATATTTGACACTTTTAATCAATTCACAGACTTTGTTTATATGACAGTTATATTTAAGGCACAAATATGGGTTTTAAGGGACATTCCAAGTGTTATCGACAACTTTATTTCCAATAGACATGGTGCTACCAGACCTTCGTTTGTATTTGGGTTATCCATCAATATTTCCAATGGTTGCATTTTGAAATTCTTTTGGATATCCCTTTGAGCATTTTCCATTTTCCCTGCATTGACTCTTTGGATTTTGTATTCCACATGGTCCATGTACCATATTTGATTTTACAATTTGAAAAAGTTGAGAATGCTGGTCTTCATCCAGAATTTCTGCCTTAACTCTACTGTCAATGCTATCATCTATTTGTAATTTGGATTCACTATCTAATATCAATATGTGAGTGTGAGGCAGTCCGTGTTTCTGAAATTCAGTGACATGA